CATGTGTAGATTTTCGATTTACTCCAATTTACTTTTTTTGTAGTTTATTTTAAAAGTTCCAAAATGGCTAACATAAAACTTCTGACATTCTTTCTAAACCCCAAGATGCTATCCCCTCTGGGGGTGTTGCCTTTTTCTTTTAGATTCGTAGTAAATTTTTTACTTCCCCCTTTTAGTTATTTAAAAATCCCTATTTCTTTGTCTGTTTGGGACTAAAAATCCACTACATTTAAAATATCTTCTTTCTGTGTGTTGTGTATGCACAAACCGGTTTTAATTCTGCCTCACGCCCCATTAAAAAAGGATACCCCTTGGAAAAGTACTTAACTGTGTTGAAATTGTGGGTAGGGAAAAACCATAAATGGACTTTTGGCTGTGGTAGAGCCCCGTTGGCATGTGTAGGTGGTTAAAATCGTTTTGTACTCCGGTGGTTTAACATTCATAGCTAGTTCAGGGAATGGTTTACCTTTAAAAAACCTCTTATTTCCTGTAAAAACAAACCCCCGGGGATAGACAACCTTTTAAAAGCCTAATAATCCCCGAAAAGAAACCAAAATAACTACAGCAATCTTAACAGTCTTGCGATCGGTTCAAACTCCCCCAACTTTAGATGGCCCAATTACGTTCTTTAAAAAAGAGCAGAAGTGACACTCTGAGCCATTTGTTGTCGCAGCAGCTGATGCTTGACGATAACATTGGGGCCCTCTACTAAGTCCCGACCAACATAAAAATTTTTTTTTTTTGATACCCTTGTCCTCGTGAAAAAAAAAGAATAGGTGAAGAAAAGAAAAAATAAGTCCCTGGAGATACATCAGCAGTAAAAAGGGGGAAATAATAGGAAATGAAAAGAGGAAATTTAAAAAAAGCTGCACGAAAAAAAAAAAAGTATTACAGAAAAACACAGAACGCAGGAAAGGTTTTTCAGCAAACATACACAAAATTTACAGCAAAACATTGAACACAAAAAATATTAGAGACTTTGGCTGTGTGTTATATATTCATAAAAGTTAAGTGATTTGACTTTAAATTTTCTCCGCTTTGAGTGATTTACCCGCGCTGACACTTTGTTGCCTTGTTTTTCCCTTTATCAGACTGAGTGTGACGGCAGCACCACCGGAGGGTGATGGAAGACACCAGGGGGTATGGAAAAACACTCACCCGGGGGGTGATGGAGGCACTCCCAGGAGGGTACTGGGGACACCAGGGGGTGACTGGAAGACACCAGGAGGGTGACTGGAAGACACTCACCAGGGGGGTGACGGGAAAAACACCAGGGGGGTGACTGGAAAAACACTTTACCAGGAGGGGGGGCTGGAAGACATCACCAGGAGGGTGACTGGAAGACACCCCTGGGTGATGGAAGACACTACCAGGAGGGTGCTGGAAGACATCACAGGAAAACTAAAACTACCCGGAGGTTTACTGGAAGAAACCCCCAGGAGGGTACTGGAAGACACCAAGGGGGGTACTGGAAACACTCACCCAGGAGGGGGATGGAAGAACCCCCAGGAGGGTGAAGGAAAACACCAGGAGGGGGACTGGAAGCACTCACCAGGGGGTATGGAAGACATCACCCGGGGGGTGACTGGAAGACACCAAGGGGGGACTGGGAAAACCTCCCAGGAGGGTGACTGGAAGACATAACCCCGGAGGGGACGAAGACCCACCAGGGGGTATGGAAGACCCCTCACCCCCGGGGGGGTGACTTGAAGACACTCACCAGGAGGTGGGACTTTTAAGCATCACCAGGAGGGTGACTGGAAGACACCCTTTCCCCCCAAAACTCAACCCGGGGGGGTGACTGGAAGACACTCACCAGGGGGGACGGGGAAAACACTCACCGGAGGGATGGAAGACCTCAAGGAGGGGCGGAAGACACTCACCAGGAGGGGGATGGAAGACACCACCCCGGAGGGGGACGGAAGACATTTTACCAGGAGGGTGAAGGGAAAAAACTCACCAGGGGGGTGCGAAGACATCAAAACCCGGAGGGGGCTGGAAGACACCCCACCAGGAGTGGACTGGAAGAAAAAAACCAGGAGGGGGAGGAAAGAAAACCAGGAGGGTGCGGAAGACACTCCCAGGAGGGGTTTACGGAAGAAAAGCAAAAACCCGGGGTCCAAACCCCTAAACCCGGAGGGGACGAAACGCCCCAAGGGGCTGGATGAAGCCTCCCCATTTTTAGGTGACTGGAAGACACTCCCAGGAGGGGGATGGAAGACCTCACCAGGAAGGGGGTGACTGGAAGACGCTCACCAGGAGGGTGACTGGAAGACGCTCACCAGGAGGGTGACTGGAAGACACCAGGAGGGTGACTGGAAAACACCAGGAGGGTGAGTGGAAGACACTCACCAGGAGGGTGACTGGAAGACGCCAGGAGGGTGACTGGAAGACACTCACCAGGAGGGTGACTGGAAAGCACCAGGAGGGTGACTGGAAGACACTCACCAGGAGGGTGACTGGAAGACGCCAGGAGGGTGACTGGAAGACACTCACCAGGAGGGTGACTGTATCCTCTTCAAGACATGCTGGTGAAAGACTCTTGATCCAAGATAATGAGGCTACCTTCAACTTCAATGTATCAAGCCTCTTCTTTACCTCCCATTCCCCAGACTCTATATAACCCAAATGGCCTTAGTAGCATTTTCCTATGAGGATTGTGTATATCTGAGTATATATCCAGCCACAAGCTTCAGAGAACTAGAAAGAGAACAGGAACAGGAGCAAAACCCAGAAGAAAATGAAATGCAATAATAATAATAATAATAGCCTAGCCCTAGATAACGAGGGGCGGGGAAAGGCATTACTGCTGGTCCGGTCATTAGAGGATGACTGTGTGTTTTCACGCGAGTGCAAATCAAGTACAGATGCTGCCCAGGATACTGTCATCTGCAAATGCCATTAGTATCAAGCCTGTCGCACCTTTGAGAGCTATCTTCCCCTCTCTGCCCACTCTGCCGCACCTTTGATGGCTTCCCTCTCTCCCCACTTTGTTTCACCTTTAATAGTTTCACTCTATATTGACCCCCCCTCCTTTTTTTCTGAGAGGGCGCTCTACTTTCCACTCCTCTCGCACACCTAAAAGGGCAGGGCCCTCTACTCTCCACTCCTCCCTCTCACACTCCTGAGAGGGTCCTCTGCCCTCTCCCTTCTAAGCCACTCTGTTGTACCCCAGAGGTGGTCCTCTGCCATCCACCCTTATGTCACTTTTTGAAAATAATTAAGCTGACATTACTACAGCACCACCACCGCCACACTATCACGATCATGGCACCACCACTACCATAGCATCACAGCACCACATCACAGCACCGCCACAGCATCACCACGTCCACAACATCAACACAACGACAACACCACCCCATAGCACCATCATCACTACATCACCACTACATGAACAACAGACGATAAGAACAGCCAACGACCAAGAACAAGAGACAACAAAAGAAAGGAGAGGAGGAGATGGAAACTTTTAACAGTTCTATATATCAAGACACTACCATCACCCAGGCGTGATTGTTATCATCATCTCTTCCTTCTTTGGTACTCATCACGCCCACCCTGACCACAACACTGACACCACCACCAGTGCCACCACCACCACCACCCTTAGCACCGCTATTAACATCCAGTACCACTACCAACATCCTTAGCGCCACTATCAGCACCTAGCATCACTAACATCATTATCAGCACTATCACTAGGTTTAGTCCCACTCTCAGCATATAACTCAGGTGTTTTTAAAGTGCATGTACCCACTCAGGTGTTTCAAACTGTTTGTATCCCCTGTCAAATATAATAATTTAAAATTCTGTTGGAAAGCTTTATTTACAGCAAAAGCGAATGTAAAGGGGAAGTAGTTGAACGAGACAATTATGAACAAACACTTACATGCACTCGTAAACAGAAAAAATGCATTTGTCTTATTTAGTGGTTCTTTTGTTGTTGCTGTTCATTAGTGGTGATGCTGAAGGAAGGTTCTCGTTTAGAAATAACCACACGCTTGTCATCTCTCACAACGAGATGGTTTCTAGCCTTTGTTTTTATGTGCTGAAGTGTTGGTGGCAGATGACACGAACTCTTAAGCGTTTTCTGCTAACGGTGGGAAATTTTTTAAGTTGTGCCCACCAGACGTTGTCTGCGGCCATTGATTCAAGTCCCATTCGTATTTCTTCATTAACTTCTAGTTCAACAAGATCGTCTTTCATAATGCCCACTTGTCATCCATGGAATCGGATTAAAAATAGGTTTTGTATTCATCCCTGAACCACAGAAACCTCTTCGTGATGACAATTTCTCCAAAACAATTTTTCACTGAAGAGGAGCGTGAGTTTCCCTGTCTCCTATTATCATGTTTATTTTTCCCCTATAATCTACCTTGTCCATAATTACTATCACATTTGCTTTGTCTGTTTCGTAAGGTGAAGTCCAGGATCTCTCCTTAATTCATGGTATAATTAACAAATCTTTGAGGACAACTGCGTTGCAGAGGTTTGAGCAAAGCTCAGACCTCTGCAACGCAATGTGAAGTAGCATGTGTTGTAGTGGTATGTAAGATGGTATGTATTAATTGAAGTGATATGTGGGGTGGTAAATATTGAAGTGGGATTCGAGGTGGCAAGTGTTGTAGTGTTTGTGAAGTGTTTTCAGCATGTTGGCGATGATGTTAAGTGTGGGCTATAGTAACACAAACCCCATCAACCATATTCTGCCAACCTCACGTCTAATGTGTTTCTGTACTTAACTAGTATCTTTATCGACGAGTTTTCTAGTGGAATCCTATGTTTTGAAGGCTTTGACTCACATTGAAGATGGAGAACATAAATACTAGTGTTTCGGTTGCTGCGCGATCCTGCAAAGGTGCCTCCTGTTATTCTCCTGGCCAGCTGTTGCCCCTATTTTGTGTTTTCTTAGGCCATTGATCGTCACCCCTGTCTTGAGTAATTCAAGTGATTCAAGAGTGTGATTTGAGTGACTGATTGTTCTCTTGTGTTTGCAGGTCACGTGTACACAGCCATCGGGGACTATCCCAACGCTTTGGCGTCACACAAACAGTGCGTCCAGCTAGTCAAACAGATGGGCGACAAGCTTCAGGAGGCGCGAGAGATCGGCAACGTTGGGGCTGTCTACTTGGCCATGGGCGACTTTGATAGCGCCGTCGACTGCCACATGGAACACCTACGCATCGCCAAGCACCTCAATAACAAAGTGGAAGAGGCGCGCGCCTACAGCAACCTAGGCTCCAGTCACCACTACAAGCGCAACTTCGACCAGGCCATAGCCTTCCATAACCATGTGCTTCGCATCGCTCAGGACCTAGGTGACCGTACCATCGAGGCCAGAGCGTATGCGGGGCTGGGGCACGCCGCACGCTGCATGAGCGACTACGTGCAGGCGCAACGCTGGCACGAAAAACAGCTGGACATGGCACTCAGTACCAAAGACAAAGTGGCTGAGGGTCGAGCTTGTTCCAACCTGGGTATTGTCTACCAGCTGATGGGTCATCATGATGCCGCTCTTAAACTACACCAGGCGCACCTCAACATTGCCAGACTCCTGCAGGATCGTGCAGGCATGGGTAGGGCCTATGGCAACATCGGTAATGCCTACTCCGCCATGGGCTACTACGAACAGGCCATTAAATACCACAAACAGGAGCTGACAATCAGCAAAGAAGTCAACGACCGCATGAGCGAAGCCTCGACGCATGGGAACCTGGCAGTGGCATACCAGGCATTGGGCATGCACGAGATGGCACTCCTTCACTACCACTCACACCTCAACATCGCCCGGGAGCTGAAGGACACAGCGGGGGAGGCGTGCGCCCTCCTGAACCTGGGCAACTGCCATTCTTCGCGAGGGGAGTTCGCACAGGCAGTACCTTACTACGAACAATACCTTATGCTCTCCCAGGAGCTGCATGACACTGAGGGCGAGGCCAGGGCATGTCACTTCCTCGGCTACGCTCACTACTGCCTCGGAAACTTCAAGGTTAGTGTATATCCCATGTTGCCGAAGTTCCCTCAAAAAATATGACCAGTTTCTCACAATGTTTCCCTTGCATGTAAAAGACAGTGGATGCCACTTTACGTGTTGTGTTAGTCATTACACATCGTTAGTGTGAATAACAGCTTCATCATATTTTCTTACCGATATGTACGCATACTTAATACGACAAATTCAAATATACAATGTGTGATTAACATGTTATAGTGTTAAGTATAAAGAAAGTCATTAACATGCCTGAGCATTTCCCTAATTCTCCTTAAACATTGATGCACACTGCTCCTCCCCAGCCACAGAACTAACATTTATGTAATGTACGTACGTTTGTTGTTGACAGGAAGCTATCAGGTACTACGATCAGGATCTGGCATTAGCGAAGGACCTGCAGGATCGCAAGTCGATGGGTCGCGCATACTGTAACCTGGGTTTGGCACATCTGGCACTCGGAAACTCAGAGACCGCACTGGAATGCCAGAAATATTTCCTCGGTTAGTGAACAAACGTATTTCTTTTTTTATTGCGTATATTCGTATCTGTACTCACCTAATTGTGGTTGCAGGGGTCGAGACTCAGCTCCTGGCCCCGCCTCTTCACTGATCGCTACTAGGTCCTCTCCCTCTCTGCTTCCTGAGCTTCGTCATACCTCTTCTTAAAACTATGTATGGTTCCTGCCTCCACTACATCACTTGCTAGGCTATTCCACATCCTGACGACTCTGTGACTGAAGAAATACTTCCTAACGTCCCTGTGACTCGTCTGAGTCTTCAGCTTCCATTTGTGACCCCTTGTTTCTGTGTCCCCTCTCTGGAACATCCTGTCTCTGTCCACCTTGTCTATTCCCCGCAGTATCTTGTATGTCGTTATCATGTCTCCCCTGACCCTTCTGTCCTCCAGTGTCGTCAGTCCGATTTCCCTCAACCTTTCCTCGTACGACATTCCCCTGAGCTCTGGGACTAGCCTTGTTGCAAACCTTTGTACTTTCTCTTACTTCTTGACGTGCTTGACCAGGTGTCATTGTACTTCTTTACGACTCTGACGTTATTTGTATCCTGGCATCTCAGGTTCTACCTGTCCCCTCGTCCTGATCCTTCCTTGGTAAAATCTCTTCTTGTCCATCTTATTTGTGCCCTGGAGTATTTTGTATGTCGTAATCAAGTCTCCTCTCCTCCGTTCTTCCAGCTTCTTTTTAAATCTAGTTGTTCATGTTTTTCATTTCTGGTTCCCACTGTGTAACTATACTGTAGAACTGGGTAATAGCTCATTGCTGAGGTATCCAGTTTTGATTAATAGTTAATAATAAGACTCTTGCTTCCACCATCCCATCTATTCCAACGACGACACCTCCCCGCACCCCCTCTCTGCCTTGCCCAGCTCCTCCCCGCACTTTTACATGCTCACACCCCACTGAATTTCCCTTCGGCTGCTTCCTTCCCCCCTCTGGTCTCACCATCCCACTCATCCTTCCACCTTGCTGTGGAATCATCCATGCATGTTATGGAATGTAAGTGTGTGCTCGTCTCTCTTGTCGTCAGCCTCTTAGTCAACCACATCATTACAGGAACATATCATTACACACAATTCTCAGATGCTCGTGGAGTAAACTATAGCTCCAGGATGTGGTCAGTATTACCAAAAACCACGAATTGTACAATTCAAGATTTGTATTTACGATTGTGTGTGTAATCACCACAAGTTGTATCAGCCGTCCTTAAATTATTAAGATTTCAAATCGGTGCATGAGACGGCAGTTTTAATAGCTTAAATTTGCGGCGAGAAAAGTTTGTGAAAATAATTTTTTTGCCGACATATGTTTTTGTATGGTATTGAAATTTTTATTTCTGTTATTATCAAATAAAGCGCTAAACCGACAAGAGCAATAACAGGAACAGCATCTTTCGAGGTTCTTTAACCAGAGGTTTGGGGGAAGGAGGAAGAAGGATAGATAAGGATGGAATGTGGAAAAAATGGGGGGAGGGGTAAGGAGTGAGGGAGTAATAAAGGAAAGCTTCTTTAGTTGGCTTCAGACTTTTACTGTTTCCTCAGAGGAAGCTTTATTGCGCAGGTTTTAATTGTGCCAGTTTTATTAATTAAACTTGTTGCGTGAAATAACTGGAAACTCAGAATTAAATCAGTGTCTTTACTGAGTTATCCTGAGTTAAATTTACATAGCTGGGATATTAGTTTCCATGTGATAAGTTGTAAATGCTTTTTCTACTCAGTATTTAACTGCATTAGAAAGTAATTACTCACTATGCACTATTCGTATCGTGTGTACTGAGGATCAGGCGGTACAGATGGCTGGGATTATACAATACTGGGATACCTTTCTAGGACCCTTGGGATGCAGGGGGACTGGGATTATACAATACTGGGATACCTTTCTAGGATCTCACAGCGACCTAAATGTATCTACTGAACGAAAAGTTTCAGCACAAGTGATTTTTTCAGTCCTAGTAGAGAGTAAGATAAAGAAAGTGGTGGGTCAAGTTAAAGTAAGTTTATATTAAGTGAGGAGCCATCCTAACATGGGCAATATGTTGGTTAAGAATCTGGAGAGAGTGAAACTCCGGGATCTTTGTGGGATTGTGTGGGCGGTGTGACTAAGGTGACCTGGTGTACTCTGGTAGCCTGCCCACAGGTCACCGTCTGCTGGTCGCCTCTGCTGTCGCAACCTGTCACCATATACAGAGCACTCTGGTGGCGCTCTTATTGTCCGTCTCTCTCTCTCTCTCTCTCTCTCTCTCTCTCTCTCTCTCTCTCTCTCTCACCTCCCTCTTATACAACAGAGTATAAACACAGAGGAAAGTAATAAGTTTGTAGACAGCATCCAGAGATGTTACCGTCCTCTCTAAGATTGTGAAATGGAAGCTTGTTAAACGTTTTGCACTCTGGCATGGTTCTTGGTATTTTATGGGGGAGCAGTGACTGGGGAAATGAGAGACAGCAAGGTACGATGCAGTGAAAGGGAAGATACGTCCAATTCTTTGGAACAAGAGCACTTTACACTGGCCTCAAGCACCTACCTCCCTTTTAAGGGATCTTACTCTCTCATCAGATATACAAAGTGACAGGTAATTCTTTCACACTTCTGCATATATTCTGTTCTTGTTTCTCAATAGTTATTCTTTAATATTTCCTTTCCATTTTAGTGTCATTACAAGATACGTATAGAAATACATTTAATGTATAGAAGTACGGTTTATTTGCTGAGAATATACTTTAATCACTGAATTTAGAATACAAGCTCATTGCAACCATTATGGCCCCACGCTCAACCTTGAAACCCAACAGCCTATACCTACGTAACTTCCTGATTACCTTACTAACTAGGTAACTCTGCCCACAGCGCTGGCACACATGATGAAGCATCTGCAGGGCAAGTTCCGAGCTCTGGGCAACATCGGTGACGTGTTGATGAAGATGAAGAATTACGACGAGGCTGTGAAGGTGTACCAGAAGCAGCTGGTGCTGGCCAAGCAGTCCAGAGACAAGGTGCTCGAAGCCTCCGCCTATGGCGCCCTCGGCCTAGCGCACAGGCTCCTCAAGTGCTTCGACAAGGCACTAGGGTACCATACTCAGGTCAGTTTTATAGGCCTGTACGCTCTTGGAGAGAAATGTACAATACCAATACGATGGATACAGACACATGGGCAGTTTATTGCCGTCCTTTATTGACGTTTCGCCCATGTGGCTTCATAAAGCCCACTGTGAGGGCAAAACATTGTCAATAAAAATGCCTGGCATTAAAAACAAAAAAAGGTGGCCCATGATGAGTGAGTCACTAGTCAGGGGCACTGTGGTTGGTCTGCAGTATTGTTATTACGGTTTTGTGAGTCATGAAGACTACCATTGTACTGTTGTGAGTGTTTTTATCCATCCCTGGAAGTTATTCCATCCCTGGAAGTTATTCCATCCCTGAAAGTTATTCCATCCCTGGAAGTTATTCCATCCCTGGAAGTTATTCCATCCCTGAAAGTTATTCCATCCCTGGAAGTTATTCCATCCCTGAAAGTTATTCCATCCCTGGAAGTTCCTGGGACCTTCATCACAGAAGTGATCAAGGTCCCAGGACCGAAATGTTTTCTAACATGCCCTAGTGTTTGGTCACGTCTTGCATCTTATTACTTATAATTATACAATATTATATTAAAATAGGCACTGGAAGTATGCGGGTCATATTGACTTCAGGTACCTTGCTGTTGTGCACCGGAAAACTATACAACGTAAGTCCTCTTTCAGCATGTAAGAATCCGTCATTAACCAACACATGTTTGGTGTGCAAGTGTGACTCTCTCTGTAAAGTGCACTCTTCCACTAAACATTCTTACACCCACACCTCAACACAACTGTCCCACCTAACATTCTTGCACCCCACACCTCAGCGAAGAGGCGGGGCCAGGAGCTGAGTCTCGATCCCTGCAACCACAATTAGGTGAGTACACCTGTCCCACCTAACATTCTTACACCCACATCTCAGTGAAGAGGCAGGGCCAGGAGCTGAGTCTCGACCCCTGCAACCACAATTAGGTGAGCACACCTGTCCCACCTAACATTCTTACACCCACACATCAACACACCTGTCCCACCTAGCATTCTTACACCCACACCTCAGTGAAGAGGCAGGGCCAGGAGCTGAGTCTCGACCCCTGCAACCACAGTTAGGTGAGTATACCTGTCCCACCTAACATTCTTACACCCCCTCCCTCCACACACTTACACGAGACTAGTTATGAACTACCAAGCGAGGCTAAAGAAACTGATTTTAACTCTCTGGAGGACATAAGAATCAGGGAGAGACATTATAACAACATAAAATTCTCAGAGGAATTGATAGGGTAAATAGGTATAGACTGTTTGAGAGGCGGGAAGTTTAAGACACACATGAGCCACAGGGAAGTCAGGAAGTATATCTTCAGTCTCAGGGTGGACGGGAAGTGGAATTACCTCGACGAGGAAGCTGAGGCAAACTCCTTACAGAGTTTTAGGAATAGGTACAATACGACTCGCTAGACTAGAAGACAGTGAATCTGGCAAGTGGCAAATTTAGAGAAGGGGCCAGGAGCTATGCTTCCACCCCTGCAATTACAACTAGGTGAGTGCGCACACACACACACACACACACACACACACACACACACACACACACACACACACACACACACACACACACACACACACACACACCTGTATTTTCTACCTCATAATTTTCCTGACACCATTCTCTAATATAAACTGACAGTGTGTGTTTCCCCCTGAGCTGACTCTCCACCTCTTCCTCAGGAGCTGACGATCCGGCAGGAGATGGGAGACATCAAGGGAGAATGCAAGGCCCATGGGCACCTAGGTGCTGTGCACATGTCCCTTGCTAACTACACCAACGCTATGAAGTGCTATGAGGAACAGCTAGAGCGAGCTAAGGAGCTGAAGGTAGGTACCCTGTGTGTGTGTGTGTGTGTGTGTGTTGGGCATGTAGGTGTTGTGTGTGTGTGTTGGGCATGTAGGTGTTGTGTGTGTGTGTTGGGCATGTAGGTGCTGTGTGTGTGTGTGTGTGTGTGTTGGGCATGTAGGTGCTGTGTGTGTGTTGGATATGAAGGCGTTTCAGGTCTGTCTGTAGGTTCCTTTGTGCCAGGCTCATCTCTCCTGGATGTAAGTTAGGTTAGATATTCACCTCATTCAAAGTCATCAGGTGGTGGGTGCACTTCACTATTTTATCATCATTGAGGGTCGAGGTAGGCAATGTTATTACAGGTAAATGGCTCAAAAGATGCAGGAGTGGTTGGTCTCTATCCACACCCAGCATAAGGATTGTTGGTGCCTGCTACATTTTGGGGTCCAGGGTAATGAGAGTCAGATGCTGAGGCAGAAGCTGCAGACTTTTGCCTCACATTGACTACATTAATAATAATAATTCTTTTTCTTGAGCATACACATAATGTAGATACATGGGTAGGTACACAAGTGAAATAATAGGCACAAAAGTCACTAATTATGCTATGTATTTTGGGTATGTTGGACCCAGTATAAAAGCAACAGGCTGTGTAGGACTTGGCAAGTTGTAACTTTTGTTCTTTAAACTCCATAATTCCTTCCTTCCTCTGATCATAAGGAAGGGATGGGAGTAGCTGGTCGTAAAGGTTCCTTATTGTGTTTTAGGCATATTGTTCAAGCCTCTATCATGTCTCATAGAAGATCCAGCAGCTTCTGGTGTGTTTATATATTGAGTGTTTTAGAGAGTGCTAAGCAGCTAGAGTATTTGTATACATCCATGTATAGGACTCTGGTGTTAATTATGCCATCTCAGGGCAGGTGTATTTGTGACTGTCCAACATTGTCTGTTTACAAACCACACATTCAGCATTTTCTGTTCATTTCCTAACAACTTTTCATTTGTTGGGTTTTATTCTTTCCTTGTGGTATTTTGCTTTTTCCACAACCCCCTGACCTAATCCACACACTGCCCTTCTCTCAGGACGCATCTTTGGAGGCCCAAGCCTTTGGTAACCTTGGCATCGCGCGGCTTAACATGGGGCATTTCGAAGATGCCATCGGGTACCTGGAGCAGCAACTTGCCACACTGGAGCAGCTCTCTACCACCACTGCTGTCGTCGACAAAGGTCGTGCCTTTGGCAACCTTGGCGACTGCTACGATGCTCTTGGAGACTCAGATGAAGCCATTAAGTGTCACGAGCAGGTTAGTGACACCACACCACCTTGTGTCCTCAAGTTTGTTGTCATCACTGAGAAAGCTATATTCATGCCTCCCTTCCTGTCTTTCCCTGTCCCTCACCTGAAGGAGGGGTGTTAATGTTGCAGTTTAAAAACTGTAGTGTAAAACACCCTTCTGGCAAGACAGTAATGGAGTGAATGATGGTGAAAGTTTTTCTTTTTCGGGCCACCCTGCCTTGGTGGGAATCAGCCAGTGTGTAAATAAAAATAAAATATTTCCTTCCCTCTCTTCTTTCTATCCCTCTTTCATTTTGTGCCTTCTTCCCTCTCTCCATTCCTCCCTTTCCCTCCCGTCTTTGGTTGTTTCCAACCATCTCAATGGTTCGGCTATCTCACTACTCGTATTACTCTTTCCTTCCCACATTATTTTAATATGACAAATTAAATGTTCTAGCTCATGAATTTGATAGAAAATTGTTACAGGATACAGTGTCAATTCCTTTCAAAATGCAGAACGTTGTGTCCAGCAGTCAGAATATTAGAATTTTCCTTTTATATTTAATGCCTACCATACCTGCTTCAGTTGATTTAAATTTTTTTCATTTTGAATTAATTTTCTCCACGTTTATTTTCATCAAAAACTTGCATTTAGATTTTCTATTGCAAAAAATTTATTGTGTGCATTGAATTTGCAAATATTATTAGACTAAACTGGGTTCCCTCATGCAAAACTTTTTGTTCTTGTATAATAATGCAAATAATAAATATTTAGCCAGTTTCAAAAATTGAATGTCACATTTTATTTTAAGTATTATAATTAATTTGCCTAAGTGTCTGATGTGTAATTCTTGTATTATAGAGATAAGATTTATTCTGTTGTCTCATTACCTGCATTGTCTCCTCAGTACTTGGCAATTGCTCTTAAGACCAAGAGTCCTCGGGATCAGGAGCGGGCGTACCGTGGGCTGGGCAGCTCTCACCGCTGCATAGGTAACCTGCAACAAGCGCTTGTCTGTTATGAAAAGAGACTAGTGGTATCCCATGAGCTCAACACTCCAGCTGCCAAGGGCTCAGCGTATGGTGAGCTGGGCCACATCCACTCCCTCCTTGGTAACTTTGAGCAAGCCATCTCCTGCATGGAGCACCAGCACCATATAGCCAGGTAGAGTAATCTATCACCAATTTTGCATGAGGCTACCATCAGGTACTTATAGCCTCCTTCCCTTCTTTCCTTCCTGGCACACCTGTACCACTTATTAGTTGTCTCAGGTGCACCAAACATCGCATAAATGCTGTTATTGCCATTTCTTGTGTAACTGTTATGTTGCTACTTTATTAGTCTCTCTCAATGACTGATGAAATTTAAAAACCAAGTCTAGATAATCTATACAAAAATATTTCTTGAATACAAAAGACTTAATGAAGTAAATACAGTAGTAACTGTTTGCTTGATTATCAGTTTAGAGCTTTCTTCATGATTACTGTGAAGATTGGATAGCCTCTTAAGTCTGCCATCCTTGCCATATTTTCCTTGAAAAATGAGTTGAAAGGTCTTTAGTAAAATAACCGGAAGCTAAAAAAAAAAATTATATATTTTTTTTATTAACACACTGGCCGATTCCCACCAAGGCAGGGTGGCCCGAAAAAGAAAAACTTTCACCATCATTCACTCCATCACTGTCTAGCCAGAAGGGTGCTTTACACTACAGTTTTTAAACTGCAACATTAACACCCCTCCTTCACACCACACATTGCCCTCAGACATGACATCTCCACTGCCTCCAGCCTTCTCCTCGCTGCAACATTCATCACCCATGCTTCACACCCATATAAGAGTGTTGGTAAAACTATACTCTCATACATTCCCCTCTTTGCCTCCAAGGACAAGTTCTTTGTCTCCACAGACTCCTTAGCGCACCGCTCACCCTTTTCCCCTCATCAATTCTATGATTCACCTCATCTTTCATAGACCCATCCGCTGACACATCCACTCCCAAATATCTGAATACATTCACCTCCTCCATACTCTCTCCCTCCAGTCTGATATCCAATCTTTCATCACCTAATCTTTTTGTTATCCTCATGGCCTTACTCTTTCCTGTATTCACTATTAATTTTCTTCTTTTGCATACCCGACCAAATTCATCCACCAACCTCTGCAACTTCTTTTCAGAATCTCCCAAGAGCACAGTGTCATCAGCAGAGAGCAACTGTGACAACTCCCACTTTATGTATGATTCTTTATCTTTTAACTCCACGCCTATTGCCAAGACCCTTGCATTTACTTCTCTTACAACCCCATCTATAAATATATTAAACAACCACGGTGACATCACACATCCTTGTCTAAGGCCTACTTTTCCTGGGAAATAATCTCCCTCTTTCCTACATACTCTAACTTGAGCCTCACTATCCTCGTAAAAACTCTTCACTGCTTTCAGTAACCTACCTCCCACACCATACACTTGCAACATCTGCCACATTGCCCCCCTATCCACCCTGGCATACGCCTTTTCCAAATCCATAAATGCCACAAAGACCTCTTTAGCCTTATCTAAATACTGTTCACTTATATGTTTCACTGTAAACACCTGGTCCACACACCCCCTACCTTTCCTAAAGCCTCCTTGTTCATCTGCTATCCTATTCTCTGTCTTACTCTTAATTCTTTCAATAATAACTCTACCATACACTTTACCAGGTATACTCAACAGACTTATCCCCCTATAATTTTTGCACTCTCTTTTGTCCCCTTTGCCTTTATACAAAGGAACTATGCATGCTCTCTGCCAATCCCTAGGTACCTTACCCTCTTCCATACATTTATTAAATAATTGCACCAACCACTCCAAAACTATATCCCCACCTGCTTTTAACATTTCTATCTTTATCCCATCAATCCCGGCTGCCTTACCCCCTTTCATTTTACCTACTGCCTCACGAATTCCCCCACACTCACACCTCTAACTCTCCATTTAATAACTCTCCTCTCGTATTTTTAACTGACAAATCTATTTGTTCTCTAGGCTTCCTTAACTTGTTAATCTCACTCCAAAACTTTTTCTTATTTTCAACAAAATTTGTTGATGACATCTCACCCACTTTCTCATTTGCTCTCTTTTTACATTGCTTCACCACTCTCTTAACCTCTCTCTTTTTCTCCATATACTCTTCCCTCCTTGCATCACTTCTACTTTGTAAAAACTTCTCATATGCTAACTTTTTCTCCCTTACTACTCTCTTTACATCATCATTCCACCAATCGCTCCTCTTCCCTCCCGCACCCTCTTTCCTGTAACCACAAACTTCTGCTGAAAACACTAACACTACATTTTTAAACCTACCCCATACCTCTTTGACCCCATTGCCTATGCTCTCATTAGCCCATCTATCCTCCAATAGCTGTTTATATCTTACCCTAACTGCTTCCTCTTTTAGTTTATAAACCTTCACCTCTCTCTTCCCTGATACTTCTATTCTCCTTGTATCCCATCTACCTTTTACTCTCAGTGCAGCTACAACTAAAAAGTGATCTGATATATCTGTGGCCCCTCTATAAACATGTACATCCTGAAGTCTACTCAACAGTCTTTTATCTACCAATACATAATCCAACAAACTACTGTCATTTTGCCGTACATCATATCTTGTATACTTATTTATCCTCTTTTTCTTAAAATATGTATTACCTACAACTAAACCCCTTTCTGTACAAAGTTCAATCAAAGGGCTCCCATTATCATTTACACCTGGCACCCCAAGCTTACCTACCACACCCTCTCTAAAAGTTTCTCCTACTTTAGCATTCAGGTCCCCTACCACAATTACTCTCTCACTTGGTTCAAAGGTTCCTATACATTCACTTAACATCTCCCAAAATCTCTCTCTCTCCTCTACATTCCTCTCTTCTCCAGGTGCATACACACTTATTATGACCCACTTTTCGCATCCAACCTTTACTTTAATCCACATAATCCTTGAATTTACACATTCATATTCTCTTTTCTCCTTCAACATTGCTGCTACCCCTTCCTTAGCTCTAACTCTTCCAGATACTCCAGATTTAATCCCATTTATTTCCCCCCACCGAAACTCCCCTACCCCCTTCAGCTTTGTTTCGCTTAGGGCCAGGACATCCAACTTCTTTTCATTCATAACATCAGCAATCATCTGTTTCTTGTCATCCGCACTACATCCACGCACATTCAAGCATCCCAGTTTTATAAAGTTTTTCTTCTCTTTTTTAGTAAATGTCTACAGGAGAAGGGGTTACTAGCCCATCGCTCCCGGCATTTTAGTCGCCTCATATGACACGCATGGCTTACGGAGGAAAGAATCTTTTCCACTTCCCCATGGACAATAGAAGAAATAAGGAAGAACAAGAGCTATTTTGAAAAAGGGAAAAACCTAGATGTATGTATATATATATGCATGTGCGTGTCTGTGAAGTGTGACCAAAGTGTAAGTAGGAGTATCAAGATATCCCTGTTATCTAGCGTGTTTATGAGACAGAAAAAGAGACCAGCAATCTTACCGAAATGCAAAACAGTTACAGGTTTCTGTTTCACAGTCATCTGGCAGGACAGTAGTACTTCCCTGGGTGGTTGCTGTCTACCAGCCTACTACCTAACTGTGTAGAATAAGGTGCTGTTTCCTAGTTCTCACAATGTCTATTTTGATGTTGCAGGGAGCTGGGAGACAAGCTGTGTGAGGCGGAGGCAGCATGTGGCCTAGGCACTGTCTACCAACAGATGTGCGAGTATACCACTGCCTTAAGATACCACCAGCTGGACTTGCGCATTGCTGAAGAGCTCACTAACCCAGCTGAGCAGGGACGAGCCCACGGCAACATCAGCCTCGCCTATGAATCTCTGGGAAACTTCGAACAGGCAGTGACACACGGAGAACAGCACCTCAGTATAGCTGCTCAGATGAACGACAAGGTGCGTACATCAGGGGGTCTTGTGATAGCACCTTACTATTGCTGCTCAAATGAACGACAAGGTGCATACGTCAGGTGGTCTTGTGATAGCACCTCAGTGTTGCTGCTAAGATGAACTCATTAGTATACAGCAAGTGGGTATTGAGACATGGCTACCTGCATCAGCAAGATAATGTGTGTGCATATGGTGATCCTTGCAACATATTACACCACAGTGAATATACATGAAAAACAATTTTTATATAAGAATAACCTAAGTGTAAAAATGTGTCATAAATGGCACCAAAAGTTCATGTGCTAGTTCGTACAGATATAAAATATCCTTGAACGATTAACCTTTTATGTACATACTCATATTTCACAGAATTTGATTGTGTAATAACAACATTTTATACCGAACAGAACAAAAGGCAAATTTTGATTACTCAAAGATCCTGCTGCACCCATTGAAATTTGATACTAATGATGTTTATGGTGTTGCAGGTGGCTAAGACCCTGGCTTACGCATCTCTGGGTCGGGTGCATCATGCCCTTGGGAACACCACTCAGGCAGTGGCGTACCTGCAGCAGGGCCTTCAGATCGCTGAACAGCTGGGCCGGCGTGAGGATGAGGCCAAGATCCGACACCGTCTGGGCATGGCACTCTGGGGTCATGGAGACCTGGAGGCAGCACAGACACAGCTTGACCGAGCAGCTCATCTCCTCGATACTATACGCCGAGAAGCTCGAGGCTCACAGGACTATCGCCTCTCGCTTTTTGACCTTCAAACTGCTTCTTATCAGGCATTACAGCGGGTCTTGGTGGGGTTAGGTCGCAATGAAGATGCACTGCTAGTGGCAGAACGTGGTAGAACCCGGGCTTTCGTTGACCTCCTGTTTGAACGTCAGGGAGGAACAACCACTTCCAGAGCCTCCAGGATTGAGGACTCGACCCCATCTACTGTAGACCAGATCATTGACATCGTAAACCGACAGAAGGCTTCTGTTCTGTACTACAGCATAGCTGCCGGCTGTCTCTATAGCTGGCTTATAGTGCCAAATAAAGGTAAGATATTCATGTATTCCACCTAGGAGTTTGTTGAATCTTATTTTTGTTAACTGGGTTAAACAGCTGGTCATGAACAGTATATTCTTACTGTTACTTTACAGTATGTACTGTAACACTGTATTGCAGTTTCATAACTCACTGATCACTTGCGTGTTTTAATCCAACATTGTTTCACAAATAACCAACACTTAGAGAGAAAACTGAAGACGACTTTTATCTGTCCTCCACCGTAATGAAATCACAGTTGAGCATAAAACACCACAGAAGACTAGAAGACAGGTTGGGAAGAGGAAAGGAAATTGGTAGTAGTGGTAGTAATGGGGAAAACTACATTTCAAAGGGATGAAGAAACAATATGTTTTAACACACACTTTGTAGAGCCTCACAGGAACAGAGAGGCATTGCATTAGGATTATTGGTCCATGCTTGTTTTTTAATTCATATTCAGTTTGGGTCATTCAGCGGAAGATGTAGTGGAGACTTGAACCTCCGTCTGCTGAGAGCGAGACAGACGCTCTTCCTATTTGAGCAAGGAGTGCAATGTAAGAAGAAAATCGAAAGACAGGAAAGGTTTAGGTCAGGTCGAGCCATGACACCAGAGTCCTGCTGTAGTGTTCCACGTCTCTTTTTTCCGTTCCTTTATTATCCCCTTCAGGATATGAGTTAAGAAGGAAGGTTGAGTTACCTGCTTCTCCAGCTCCTTGAGATGTAATTTTCCATTACTACTTTTATTTCTATTACTACAACTACAGTTATTTTTACTAATACTATTACTACTACTTCTGTTATTACTATATGCTCCTTCCCCCTGAAATGTCATCTAAAGTTTCACTCGAAATGTGGGTCATTTGTGAATTGTTTTATCTCTGGTATTGTGACTTAATCTTCAGTATTATTGCATTGTCTTGCATTTAATTTTTTAGGTACCCACGATTCCGTACGAGTATTTTTTTAATTTAGATCTTTCGTTCAAACAACATCCGCTCCGTATCACCCCACCGATGGCGGGGAGTTGGCCCAAAAAGAAAAACGAAAAGTTTCCATTTTAATATTTAGTAATTATTGCGTGGAGGAAGGGTTACTAGTTACCTGCTCCGCGTCTTATTTAGTCACCTCTACAAACAGTATGGCTTAAAGGAGAGAAGAATTCTGTTTCCACTTTCCCCTTGGGTAAGAGGAAATAAACGGAGACAGAAAAAAGAAAATAGAAGAAAACCAAGGGGTAAATATATCTTGTACATGGATTTATGAAGGATGAGGTTAATCATAGAATTGATGAGGGAAAAAAGGTGAATGGTGCGTTGAGGTATATGTGGAGTCAAAAAACGTTATCTATGGAGGCAAAGAAGGGAATGTATGAAAGTATAGTAGTATCAACACTCTTATATGCGTGTGAAACTTGGGTGGTAAATGCAGCAGCGAGGAGACGGTTGGAGGCAGTGGAGATGTCCTGTCTAAGGGCAATGTGTGGTGTAAATATTATGCAGAAAATTCGGAGTGTGGAAATTAGGAAAAGGTGTGGAGTTAATAAAAGTATTAGTCAGAGGGCAGAAGAGGGGTTGTTGAGGTGGTTTGGTCATTTAGAGAGAATGGATCAAAGTAGAATGACATGGAAAGCATATAAATCTATAGGGGAAGGAAGGCGAGGTAGGGGTCATCCTCGAAAGGGTTGGAGAGAGGGGGTAAAGGTGGTTTTGTGGACGAGGGGCTTGGACTTCCAGCAAGCGTGCGTGAGCATGTTAGATAGGAGTGAATGGAGACGAATGGTACTTGGGACCTGACGATCTGTTGGAGTGTGAGCAGGGTAATATTTAGTGAAGGGATTCAGGGAAACCGGTTATTTTCATATAGTTGGACTTGAGTCCTGGAAATGGGAAGTACAATGCCTGCACTTTAAAGGAGGGGTTTGGGATATTGGCAGTTTGGAGGGATATGTTGTGTATCTTTATACGTATATGCTTCTAAACTGTTGTATTCTGAGCACCTCTGCAAAAACAGTGATAATGTGTGAGTGTGGTGAAAGTGTTGAATGATGATGAAAGCATTTTCTTTTTGGGTCACCCTGCCTCGGTGGGAGACGGCCGACTTGTTGAAAAAACAAAACAAAAAAAAAACATGTATGTGTAGTGTGACCTAAGCGTAAGTAGAAGTAGCAAGATGTACCTGAAATCTTGCATGTTTATGAGACAGAAAAAAGGACACCAGCAATCCTACCATCATGCAAAACAATTACAGGCTTTCATTTTACACTCGCTTGGCAGGACAGTAGTACCTCCCTGGGTGGTAGCTGTCTACCAACCTACTACCTAGATTTTTATTTAGATATTATTAATAAATATGCAGCACACTGGGGAGAGGAGTTGAATTATATAAGTTTATAGCATGGATCTTGTGGGTGAAATTTGATTTTTTTTTTTTTTACTTTCAGGTATTGTAAAGTTTAATGAAGTAAGTGTGAGTGAAGTGGAAGCTGAGCGAGAAGGCGACTGTGGGGAGGATGCCTCTGGAACCTGTGGATCACTACTAGAGCACTACATTCAGTCAGTGCGAGATGCCCTGGGGGTGGAGTGCGGTGCAGGTGTTACCAGAGGAGGTATTGCCAGCGAGACGGAGAGTGAAGCTGGGGATATGTGGAATGCTCACCTAGAGGAGCTTGGCGACAAGCTCAACCATGAAGCTGATAGAACAGGCTTTTTGAGGATGGTTAACCGTAATCATTTGTTCAATTCTTCAAATTACTCTCTGTCATCTCTCTTCTCCCTGGGGTCAGTCAGTGGATCAATTGCTTCTGGTCCTGCATCGCGGCCTGGTTCCACTCGTTCTCGGAGGGTGACCTGGCAGGGTCCCTCATGCCTCCGCTCCCTTTATGAGCTACTCATTGCACCAATGGAAGACTACTTGCCAGAGGCTGGTGTGTCACGAGAACTGATGCTCGTACTGGAAGGAGATCTCTACCTTGTTCCATTCCCTGTCCTGAAGGGCACAAACTGTAATGACTATCTGTGTGAACGGTATTCATTGCTCGTTGTGCCTTCTATCAGTGCTCTGAGAGTAAGTCAGCGATCAAAGAACTCAAAACCCAGTGGTGAGCAAACATCTGCGCTTGTGATAGGCAATCCGAAATTACCGAGCACTGTGACTGAACAGTGGGGCTGGGGGGATATTCCCTATGCTGAGCAGGAAGCTACTATTGTGGCAGAAATGTTACAAACAAAGGCACTGACGGGAGCTTGTGCCAACAAAGAGGCCATCTTAAGACTCATATCCCAAGTTGAGTGTATCCACCTGGCATCCCATGTTTCTTGGAAATTATCTGCTGTGATACTTTCTCCAGGCGAGTTTGTAGAGTCTCGGGCATCAAAAAGGCTGTCTCACTCATCTCAACCCGAGGCCATCCATGAACATTTGGATGATGAAGGCTCGGAGATCGCATCCACTATTGACTTGCCAGCGCTATCAGAGTTCCTGCTGACAGCTGCTGACATCTTGAACTTGAAACTGCGTGCTAAGTTGGTTGTAGTGTCATCATGTCACACAAGAGACCACCACGGACGAGCAAATAGTGATGGGGTGGTTGGCTTGACTCGCGCACTGCTGGCAGCCGGGGCGCAGTGTGTCCTGGTCTCCCTCTGGCCTGTACCTGACACAGCCGTCAAAATTCTCTTCAGAACGTTCTATTCTTCGCTCCTTCAGGTAATTTCTCATAATCATTCGTTAAGCTTGCATCATGTCCCAACAAACTGTATAACAAAAAGGCACAATATTGTGACTGGAACAATACACAAATAACTCTCACATAGAGGGGAGCTAACGACTACGTTTCGGTCCGACTTGGACCATTTACAAAGTCACACTTTGTGCAGGTTATTTGTGTAAACCATATGAAATTAGCTTTATTTTATCACCTGTAAGTATTAATGTTTCCAGTGTCTATGGATCAACAATACGTCAGTCTGTGAATATTAACAGGTAACGGATTGTAACTTATTTTCACTGTATGCATGTTTTTTTCCTGCTGCAGGGGGCACGAGTGAGTCGAGCACTATCAGAGGCCCAGCAGACAGTGCAAACCACTAAGCACTTTGCTCATCCTGCCAACTGGGCTGGCTTTCTGCTCATCGGTGCAGATGTCAAGCTCTCCAATAAGGTAATCCTTTCACACTCTTAATAATACATTTACAATTTTTTTTTTTTTTTTTTTTTTTTTTTTTTTAAATTTTATTATAAAAATCACTGATTTACAGGAAAAGAGGTTAAATTTTAAAATTAATTTATAAAATAAATTTATCCAGCAATAAGGTTAGGAACCCTAAACCTAACCTTGTGTATCAAAAAGAATGTCTCACTCAGATCATGATCTTTTCTTCAGTATTGTTTCCATCTCTAGGCTGTATCACAGTTTGTTGACTCTTACAGTTTATTTTGATCACAGCTTTCCATTCCTCTCTCTTGCATTCCCTACACATTCCATTTGTTCTTAAACTAATTCCAGCTTCTCCACAGGTGGCATTGATGGGACAGGCACTATGTGAACTGCTGAGAACACCAGACAAGTGCCGGGATGCCCTCAGAGTCACACTGCACCTGGTATGTACTACCAGTGCTGTTAATAAAATGAAGGAAAGGGAGGAAGAGAGAGAATTAGTTTAATAACTTTATTATGCACCCAATACCCATCCTGTGGGTGGTAGCCAAAAGATTAAGAGGCACATAATGAGTCCAGCGACTGGGCCCCAAAGTTTTGATAGCTACAAAAAAAAAGTTAGCAATAATAAATTATTTACAAGGTTATATCTAGTTATAATTGTAAAGATTTATTTATGCAGACATGAATTAAGTGAAAAAAAATCAGAGTGTAGCTTATATGTGGATTTGAATAATTTACAAGAGTCAAAAATCAGGTTATTTTTCCAGAATGGCTGGTAATATGCCACTGTGGATAAAATACTTTGACTTAAGTGCTTTTATATACTGTATAGATATATAAATTTTGGTGGATAGAAGCTTCCCTACCCAAGGATGTGGCTTTCTCCATGCAATTAACATCCAATTCCTAGCCAGAACCAATGGTTCTTAACATCATCCACAGCACTAAGTCACTGGTACTGTGTGTGTTACCTCACACTTATGTACTCACCACTTTGTTTACAGAGGTTGAGCTCCAGCTACACATAATTACAGGAGTTATTTAACATCTTAGTCATTATTACTTTTGATACCATGTATGGAGTCTGCTTTTCCTACATTGATTCTTAATTCTCCTACTGTTTTGCAAAAAAGTCTAGCTCTGAAAATGGTGATTGCCCCCTTGTTTTTCTATCTTTTGCTTTTAAAAAATTTTTATCCCTAACTTTTTTGGGCCCCTAACCCCGGGAGCATCTTGCACATTGTGATCAATCTCCCCCTGTTTTGGGCCCCTTCATGAAGGTTTTTAGCTATACTTGAATATCCTCACAGCTTACAACCATTTTCTGGAACCGGGATGGTGGGTAACCTCTGCAAAAGGAATTTTTTTTTTAAACCCCCAGAAAGGGGTTTCCATACTGGTACTCTGTAAAGCTTTTGCCCTTAAAATTTTTAACATCCAACAAAAAAGGGGGTTTTCATTTTGATTCTTGATAGCTTTTTTAACTTTTTTAAAACCCTTAATATGGGGTTTGATTTTTAACCCATCTTTTTTTGGGTTTTTTTAAAAAGTTATCCTTTTTCGGGCCCTCACATCTTCATCACTTTGATTTTTTTAAGCAAATAAATTCATACCCATTTGTCGAACCATTCTCATTTTTTGAAAGTTTCAAAAACTGTCAGGTGTTTTTCTAAATGTTTTTCCCTCTAAAAAACACACTGAAATGTTATGTGTTTGATAATCTCCCCCCTAAATTTTTTGGGTCGTCTTCTACAGTTATGAGATTTGGGCCGTCTGAGTCTACTGTAAAATAAATGATTTATTACGGGGGCCCCCAGCCTAGTGGAAAATCCTGCACCTTCAATTTTTCTTTGTGCGGGAAAGGGTGTTGGTTTTCAGGGCTAGTGCTGAAATTTTCCCCAAAAGTTGTTTTACACACATGTTTTTTCCCCAGGTTTCTTGGAGGAAAAGCCCAGGTTGTCTGGGGTGTTGACCCCCTGCATGTATGAGCTATTTCCCAATAAAATCCCATTTAATTTTCCAGAAAATAAATTTTACCAGTAGCCAATCCCCCTTTTTGTGGAATTTTGTTTTAAATTATTTGCATTATTTTGCCCATTTACAAAAATGTGTGTTTCCCTTTTTGTGCATAAAAAAGTGTCCCAAATTTTTGTACATCTTCACAGAAGCATTTAAATTTTTCCCATTATGTGTGGGTTTGGGGAATATAACAATATTTCATATTTTAAGAAAGTTTTTTCCCCTTTTGTCATTTTCCCCCCTTTCCCTTTGCTTGTTTCCCAGCAGAAACCCTTTTGTATTTTGTCATAAAGTTTTCCCACTCAGTGGTTATTGTTTCAGGTGGAAAAGCCCTTACAGCGCACCAAACCGGGGGCACCCAATGCCAGTACACCACACAAAAGTCCATTGAAAAAAAAGGGTTTGGGCAATGTCCCCGGGCTGGAAGGACTTGCTGATGAGTTTTGGGGGGTTCGGGTTTAAACCCTGCAGCCAACGGGATTCCAAGTAGGTTTTCTTTCCCCAGAGCGCCCCCCAGGAGAACCCCCTCACTCAGGGGCTCCCGCCAGCCCCTTAAAAGCACTCTTAGGTAAGAAATTGGAGCTCTTTTGGGGGGAAAAGGCTTTAAAAATTTGTAAAATTTTAAACAGAGAAAATGTTTTGGGGCTAATAACAAAAAAAAGGGGGAATGCACAATATCCAAAATTCAAGGTATAAAAGAAAGTGAAAAAAGGGTAACAAGGAAGACTTCATAAAACCATCAACTGAAATAAAACCCAAACCCTAGAAGCTAAGAATAATGTTTAGAAGCTGAAACTTTTTCATCATAAAAGTGTTCATGAACAATTTGGAAGCTCCCACGTTTTTTTAAAAAGGGTTTGATCAGCAGAACAGGCCCGTAGCCCAACAAAAACCAAAAAACCAAAAACCCCCCCGAAAAGGGTTTTGGAGGGGGTTTTGGGGAAAGGAAAAAAAACCATTGTTTAAAAACCTTTTTCGGGTTTCTCCAGAATGGAAAGGAGTTAAAAATTTAATTGGGAAAGCCAGACTGTGAAGTGAAGGGGGAAGGGGGGGGGTAAAAAAGGGGGTTTAACGGGTAAGGGGTTTGTGAAATTTAAAGGGGAAAAGTGACAGAAGGGGGGGTTTTGAAGGGGAAAATTTTTTTCTATAATTCGTGGTGTTTTGTAAAGCAGAAAATTTTAAGTGTACTAGGGACTGGAAAAGAGAAATAAAAAATTATTGTAAAAGAGTAAAAGGCAAAGATTAAAAAAGGCAGGCATTAGGGGGGTACAGGCTGCCATAATTATATTTATTTTTTTTCTAAATTTCCATGAAGAAAGAAATCACCCGGGGGCGGGAAAAGGTGAAATGAGAAAACAGGGGGCCCCGGGGGGGAAACATAAAACCCCAAACCCTTTTTGCCACCCTACCTAAAAGTAAATATCATTATCGCCGCAAGGTATGGCAACCCCCGCATCCCCAAACAAAAACAGTGCAACAGCTCTTTTTGTAGCACTTTTAAGTGGTGATACCCCAAATTAATCCGGACCTCAAACTATTGGCAAAGAAAAAACAGACAGATAAATTACGGCGATAAAAAAACGGTCTAGTAGCTAGGAATGAAAACCCTTAAAATCCTCCATATGTAATGCATACATGGGTCAGTGGGGAGACAATACAGCCATTATTATCTAAAAACACAGTACAGTGTATGCCCTTTTTGGGGTAAAGTACGCGTGAAAAACAAAAAAGGGCCCCTTTATTTTAAAATTGTAAGGGGTGGGTGAAATGATGAATGAAGCAATTATACCCAAGGGTGCCAAAAATAAATTTTGTGTGTAGAAAATCACTTTGGAAAACATTTTACCCTTTTAAGCAGTAAATCCATTGATTTACCTAATTTTAAAAAAATTTGACCCATTGCCAATATTGAAAATTATATTTTTTTAGAAAACGGGGCCCCTTATTTATTCATGTCAATGCAAGATCACTTCTTCCTAAATTGGCAGAAAATTGGGTTTTCTACAAACAAAAAGGGGGGGCGGGTAAAACCCATCTCTGAATCTTGGTTGGATGATACGGTGACTGACACGAGGCAAAATAGAAGTTTCAATATAAAACGCTTAGATAGGGAAAAGAAAAAGGGGTGGAAATTTTTGCCCCACCCTTTGAAATTACTTACTTTCAACCCCAAAACCTGATTTTTTAAAAACAATAAAATTGGGGATTCTATGGTTTTAAGTGCTGCTTCCCCAAAACCAAAAAACCCCTCTTAGTAGGAACTAGTTACCACCCTCCTACCCAGGACCATTTTTTAAAGACTTTTTCCCAATTTTTGTTTGGAGTTGAAAAAAATTGCAAAGAAAATATGGGGGGATTTTAAAAATCTGTTTTTAGAGCCAAAAAAACGGGCAATGCAAAAGGTATTTAAACAAATTTTAGGGTTAAATAGCTACAAATCAACTAATTAATACACCAAACCCCATCACACAGTTTTCAGCCACCCTAATTAACCCCATACTTTGTAACCGCTCTGGAACATTAGTCAGTCAAGGGGTTTTATTTCCACAGCCTTAAGGGGATCCCTTTCACATTTAAATGCACCCGGAAAATTTACTAGGGATAGGAAGGCCCCACACAGGAAAAATAAAAATGATTCAACTAAAAACTACAAAAAGAAAAACTGGTTTAAAAAGGCTACACAAATTTGGGCTTGGGCAGAGATAACACGTTCCCCCGACGTAAACGATGCCCGGGAAAAATTTAAAACAATGTCACTACCATCCAAAGATAATATTGCAACCCTTTTAAAAAAAGGTTTGGAAATTTAAAAAGAAGGGAAAGAGCCCCGGATGAAAACTGAGATATTGATTTAAATGAAAAATTCAAGACCGCTGCTAAAAAGATTTTAAAACAAACAGACAGGAAAATTGGGAGCACTAAATGAATTCCCCAAAAGGGGGAGGAAAAAGATACAGAGACTTTTAAAAGGGCCCAAAAGGGAAAGCACTATTGCTCAAAAATTGAAGGTATAAGCATAACCCCAGAAAGCTCTGGCAACAACTAAACAGTTTTGGGGATGCCATAAGCCATTTAAAAGGTCTTAAAAACATAGTACTCACTTTTCGATAATGAGGGATGGCCCAAAAAGAAACATCTAAGGTGCAAAATTTCTTTAAATTTTTTTTCTACACATCCCGTTGCATCAACCCCTAGTTAAATAAATTACCACTGCATCAAATACCTTTAACACAGACCCTGATAATTTCAAACATACTATACCAATAAAAGGGTAACCCCAAACAGTTTTCCCAAATAGTAATTTTTCCAAACTTTATTCAAAAAAAACTAACAGGTTTTAAAACCCCAAAAAGAGCACAGGCCCTGATAACCTCCGTTTTAAGTTCCTAAAAGAAGGGGCTTCTGAACTGTCAATCCCCCATTGCTCACATAATAAATCCCCATCCAAACACCACTAATACGTACCGGGGGGTTTAAGGGGGGCCAGAGTTACTCCTATCTTTAAGAAAAATAGTAGGTCTGATTTTAAGCAACTATAGGCCCCGGGTTTGTATACCATATAATATCTAAAAATTTTAGAAGGGCAGTTTTTTTTCTCAAGTAAGTGGACCCCCCCCAAAACGATGGCAACACAAGCGAAATTTTTCGCAAACCGC